TTTTGGGTTTGAAAAAAAATAATGTTAATCATGATTCAAGGAAAATGATTATAACTGTAAGATGTAAAATGTAAATTCATTTGCTTTAATGCTGAACCAAAATCTAAATATTTATAACCACAAATATATTATGTTATATAAAATATTAAACTAAAGTGATTTCTATAATTATTATGATTTATTTTATTACAGTTAAATCCAAACTACAAGGCAGCTATTGCAGCTCTCAATGCGCTCAGTCGACAGGACCTGGATGAAGTAAAAAGTTTCAGAGAGCCACCAGAACTTGTGAAATATGTTGTTAACTCTCTTTGTCTGCTTTTCAACAAAACACAAGAGTATGTATCATTAGTATAGAAAGTTTTATTCACAATGAAAACTTGAAGACTGAAAAATATGTAATAAATATTCTTACATGCTTCACACTGTTATCCCATTAAAGCAGCATGCCTCAAGATTCTTGTTTATTTTCATGAAAATTTTGAAAATGTTTTAAAAGTAAAATATTGTAAAGTGAACAAAAAAAGTTATTTACACATTGCAAATGGCACTTATGATCCACATAAATTACTAAAAAATAGTTCAAATATGCAGAAATAGCCCTTACTGTGGTAGTTATGCAGAAGAAATATGTTAAATACTGCTAAATCAGTCATCACGGTAACATGTGTAATGATTGTTACTTGAATCTTGAAACTTTTTAACTCTTCTCAAAAGTTTTGCACATTTTTCTCAAGTTTGATTTTCTTGAAATATTTTGGCTCATCTTGAGGCAAAATGACAATAATGGATGTACTTGAAAAAGTTACTATTTGTAAGTCATGACTCAAAACTAAAATTAAACACATGGTTTTTGTTACAGTTGGGAGAATGGCAAATTATTACTTACACGAGAAAACTTTATACAGGAATTGATATTCTATGACAAAGACAATATACCTGAAGGTATGTTTGTGGAACTATCAAGACTTGTCAAAAATCCAATGTTTCAACCAGATCTGGTGAGATCTGTGAGTCTTGCAGCCGCTGGAATTTGTTCCTGGGTTCATTCAGTGCAGAAATACTCGGACATCCACAGAAACATGCAGCCACGACTGAAAAATCTGATGGAACAGGAAGAAAAATTCACAAGGGTATGACGATTGTTGTTACCAAAAATATGAATTATAGTTGCATCTAATGATAATTCAATCAGAATTTATTAATATTTTAATTTTTATTGCCTTAACATCTGTTGATGTCAACTAAGCTAGAATTATATTAATGAATTGACAATTGCATACTTTATTAAACATGAGCGTGACCATCTTACCTTTAGTGTCATAATAAGTGTGTTCTTCATTCTTTAGGCTCAAGCAAAACTCGGCCAGTTAAGAGTAGATGCTAACAGAATAAAGAGCGGTTTAGAAAGAAAGATTCAGGCTCATAGAGCAGCTGTAAAGAGAGCCAAGACAATCCTTAAACAGATGCAGGTAATGGTTTATATTTATATATTATATACTAACTACTGAAATACTGGGTTTTATCTGTGAAATGAAATCCATATCACTCCAGGCTTTGGGTCAGTTATATTAAAATATAATGGCCATATGTGCAAAGTTCTTGTTATCATTATTTAAATAAAGTAATTATTTGAATGAATTTATTACATAGACAAGAAAGAAATGTAAAAGGAATGTTAAGAAAGTCACTATTTCATTTATATTTGTTAAAATTTCGATTTCGCATTTAACAATGATTAAAAAAATGTTAAATAATGTCTTGCAAAAGCTAAAGGAACTACTGACATTTTATGCATTTTTTAACCTTTTCTATATGAAAAGGTTTGCTTTCAATGTCTATTAGATTTCCGTCTTCTTCATTGTATGGTCCAAACGTTATGTACATGATAAACTTAAAAAACGAAAAAAAAACACGTAAAAAGCAAATAAATGTTAAATACATGTATGTATGCAGGCTGAATGTTGCTATTTTTGCGTAAGATGTTACATGTAGTTTTGTATCTTCTTGCACTAATATGATGTGCTGATATGATTAACGTCACTTCTCTTCAAATATTGTCTTATGTAATATATATAATTTTACATCTTTTGAAATTGTTCTTTTTTGTATAATTATGATGCTTTTCTTTGCTTAATGTTGTTTCTTTTCATTGACTGTGTTATGTAATATGTATATCTTCGAACATTCGGAGGCAATAAAGATGTATATATATATAAAATAGATAATAGGTTATCACTACTTCTTAATTGAAGTACAATTAGTTTGCTAAAATAATCACACCTCAATGAAGACTATAAACTTGAATTTCTTTTGCAGCAAATGCGTAGTCATTGAATATCTTGTTTCTTCTTTCTTTATGCGTCAGTCCCACAGTAAATAATTTTTATTTAATTTATTTTTACTTATTAGACATGAAAAAATGGATTTGTTTTGTTTTGTCTTTTTAATGAATATGCTATTTATCACTCATTAAAGTGAGGAACTACGAGTTCACAAATATAGTGCATTGTTAAACACATTTCCCCCCATACAAACCCAGAAAACAAATATTTTCTAAAAAGAATGCAAAATAAAGGGAGGTAATAAGAGTTTATTAATTGTCCTTATTTCATAGAGACAGGCTTTTGTTAAACTTTGATATGTTAAATCTTTTTGTTATCCTGTATATTATCAATAATGTTTTTTATTTCATAACAGAACATAGAGAGGAAGATATCTAGAGCTGTAAATCTGATGGAGAACATGTCAATGCAACACTACATTGGTGGAAGTCTTGAACTTCGTTAAAGCCAAGCACCAGATCTTTACAGCTCCTGGAGACGCATTAATCACCGCAGCATGTGTCTGCTACCAGGGACCTCTCACTGACAAAACTACGGTCCCAGCTCCTACAGGACTGGTTAGATAGGTGTAAACAGGGTAACTTTAAATTACCAAAAATTTGTAGGACAAGATGTCTACCAGCTTGGTAATGGTATAGAAGGTTTGGTTTGGATTTGAGTCTCAGAAAGATCGTTGACTCTATAAGTGAAGTTTCAAGTTCTCAGACAGGAAAGTCCAAAGTGCCTCTCTATCCTTGATGGCGGACTGTTTCCTCTTCCCAGAGGTTAGGACGTTATAAATACCAGCCTGTTGTATATGATACCAGTAAATATTACAAGTCAGAGCTGAAACGTCACGGGAGTGTTGAGTACGAGCCAACTAGTGCCGATGATGATGATTCCGATGATGAAGCCGAGCAGAGTCCTCTCCTAACACGCGAATTTCGTACTCTCTACAAGAAATTCTTAGTGACTTTGATGAACTTAGTAAGTGGCGACTTGAGGGACTTCCAACTGATTTACACTCAGTTTCAGAATGCTTTACTTATGAGAGTGAGTTGTTACAACAGGAAATATTGCTGGCCTTTATTGATTGATCCAGACAACCAGGCAGAGACATGGGTGAAGGCCATACAAATGAGTGGCAACATTTTCTCAGAGAAAGATGTTAGAGATGGAGATGATAATGACACTGAAGGTAATCATTCATCATTTTATTTTTATTATCATTTTGTTTACATTGATCATATAAGTTTTATTTCACCATCATTTTACTTATACCAGTCGCGTTAGTTGTTCTACAATATGTTTTATCACAATACGATCAGCAAAGATTAAAGTTGGATATTATTGTCTTGAAACAGAAAATACAAACATAACAACACTCAAAAATTTGAACTATACAGTTGTTACACATAATAATTATATTTTATTTACAGTCAAAGAATATTATTCTTTCTAGCAAAATTTGATATGAATAATACAAACTGAAACATCAATAAGAATGCACAGTTAGCACACTGTTCTCTATGTCTATCTATCAGTACATGTATTACAAAAATAAATCCTTTTTTTATCCTAAAATTACATAAAATCTAAGTATTAATTAGTTATAGTTAACAAAATATGACTATGCCTTTCCTTTACTGTATTCCTGAATGGCAGACAATCTTCCATATACCTTAGTTGAAAAAGAAACAAACACATATAGGTATCTTTAGTTCAAACCAAATACTCAAAACAGTTCAAAGACATTAAATACATATCTATACATATCTATAATTCAAAACAAGTATTTGAACAGTTCTGATATTTTGGCTAAAGGAATTAAACATATACATAATTATGCATATTTTATAATAGATTCTCTGATAGACTTATTAGTTGGGCAGAAAAGAGTGAAAACGTATTCCTAGTTAATTTCTTAATATAAATGGGCAATGAAAACTTGCCAGACCAAGCTGCACATCCTTTTATTCTGATGACATGCTTTACTCTATGCTGCTAAATTTTATCATTATAATCTTGATGTCATATAAAAGAACAGTTCAGAATTCAATGCCTGACAAGTCTTTGCCATTATTCTAAGTCATATACCTCGATTTTGCTCTGATTTGTATAACTTACAATGATTTTGTTAGACAGATGGTCATGATATATACAAACTGGAACATTGATTTTATCAATCTTCAATAATTCTCTTATTAACACACTTTTAGGATCTAACTGTAAAACATTCCTAGTATGGTTTCCAGCAACCAAAACTTTTCCATTTTCTGTTACACTTACATATTTTGCGCCCAGTAACAGATTGTTATCAAATTTACTTGTGATGAACTTTTTTCTATTTCTATTAAGAACAAGTAAACCTTCTTCCATGTCAGCAACATATATTGATGAACCATCATTAGTGACGGCTAAACCACTGATGCCAGGGGACAAAGGAATCTTAACCTTTTCCCTTATATAAGCGTGTTTCGACGGCTTTTTGCCCCCCCCCTTTTTTGAGGCCTCAAACAGTGAAAAAATGCCCTATTTAGGCCCCAAACACTGTTTTTCGTTTGAGAAATGTTGTTAAAAAAATTGACCATTTTTTCGGCGCCGTCCCCCATCCAAATATTACATCAGGGGGTTGCCAGAAGGGGGATGTGCCCCCTTCTGTTTGGGGGGTTTGAAGGGGGGCGGAGTCCCCCTCATCGCCAAGAAAATTTTGGACTTGTGAGAGGCTTAAAATGATCCCAGGTCGATCATTAGGTAACGTGTAACCAATGCTGAAAAGCCTTTGACTCTATCTCAATCCCTTGAGAAGTTGCAGCACTTTGAAATAAATTTTGATGGAAAAAATCGAGGCAAAAAAGTGATTTTTGGCAATTTTGAGATGTCCCCTCGTTGCCATGGTAACAGGAAATTTAAGACTGAGCATGTCGTTACAAAGGCAATGGTCCAGTCAACATTTGTGCCAAGTTTGATTAGTATTGAAGCATTTTTCATAGTTTCATAGCAGTTTGAACTTGTGAGAGGAGGCTTTTCAGTGAAAATGGCCATTTTTCACAATATGCTCATGGGGGAAAGGGTTAACTAAAAAAATTATAAATGTTACAAAACATCAATTTTTCACCAAAATTAGGTAAAAGACCAAATGTTAACATGGAAAAACTAGATTTTGGGTGGTTCCAAGGTTTTTCATCATTTTTTGTTAACCTTTTCCCTTATATAAGCGTGTTTCGACGGCTTTTTGCCCCCCCCCCTTTTTTGAGGCCTCAAACAGTGAAAAAATGCCCTATTTAGGCCCCAAACACTGTTTTTCGTTTGAGAAATGTTGTTAAAAAAATTGACCATTTTTTCGGCGCCGTCCCCCATCCAAATATTACATCAGGGGGTTGCCAGAAGGGGGATGTGCCCCCTTCTGTTTGGGGGGTTTGAAGGGGGGCGGAGTCCCCCTCATCGCCAAGAAAATTTTGGACTTGTGAGAGGCTTAAAATGACCCCAGGTCGATCATAAGGTAACGTGTAACCAACGCTGAAAAGCCTTTGACTCTATCTCAATCCCTTGAGAAGTTGCAGCACTTTGAAATAAATTTTGATGGAAAAAATCGAGGCAAAAAAGTGATTTTTGGCAATTTTGAGATGTCCCCTCGTTGCCATGGTAACAGGAAATTTAAGACTGAGCATGTCGTTACAAAGGCAATGGTCCAGTCAACATTTGTGCCAAGTTTGATTAGTATTGAAGCATTTTTCATAGTTTCATAGCAGTTTGAACTTGTGAGAGGAGGCTTTTCAGTGAAAATGGCCATTTTTCACAATATGCTCATGGGGGAAAGGGTTAAACAACTGTTTAAGCGTATTGCCTTTAAGTTCATAAATATATACTGATGTAGAATCAGAAAGATACAAGTTTCCGTTGGCATATGCCAAACCTCTGCAGCTATGTGTAAGTTTTATCATGCGAGTTTTCTTCATCTTGGGTTGAAGGGAAACAACATGTAAGACTGTATCTGAGCAAGAGACAGCCACCTCGTTGTTAGATATGGTGCAAACTTGCCAAGGCTTTCCCGGGATGTCACAGTAGTCTAATATAGAATATCCAGGTCTGTCAACTCTTTTTAACCTTAGGTTACTGAAGTCAGCTAGTACTAGCGTTCCATCTTGTAGGAAGCAAATGCTGTAGATATTTGGAGTACTTAGGTCTGATGGATATTTGACATCGATCATTTTTTTAGATTTGAATTTGAATTTTTTTAAATGCTTGTTTTCTTTTGGTTCCTCTTGTAAAACATTATTTAGTCTTTTTTTGGTTACTTTCAGTGGTACATTCTCCAGAGATCGTTTCATTTTCTAATTTTTTCCAGTTTTGTTTTCTTCTCTGTTAAATCCTTGAAGTCCTCTGAAAACTACGGTGTCATCATCTTTACACATTTCATATTTTGTGGAAGGTTCATCTATAGAGCTTATGGGAACTTTGTTTACTTCTAAGCTTACCAAGCTATCCATCTCTCGGAGCATATCAGAGAGGACTTCATTGACCTTCAGCTCAATTTCTTCATTTTGTTCTTCAGGTTTACTTCTATCAAGAAACCTCTCAACTTCTTTTGCAATGTTTTTGCTTTTAATTATGTTTACAAAGTCTTGTGAAATGTTGTTTCCTGTAGATACTAGAGTGTTTGTTGCAGAGTGCAGCAGGGCCTCGGTTCCCTCAAGTACTTTTAGGTCATCTTGGATATTTTCTAGGGCTGGTTCTGTTATTTCCTCTATCTGTGTAATAGACACAAGCTGCAGTACATCTAGCCGTGTATTGATACTTTCTCTTATTGTAGCTACTTGCTGCAAAAGTTGTTCTTTGTTTCCAAGGACTTTGTTCCTTTTACTTTCAAACTTGTCTTGATATTGATGCACTTTTTGTGTTATTTCTTGAAGCTTTTTTTCAGCATCATCAACTTTGTAAATATTTGTTTTGTTGGTAAGAAATTCTGGTATGAAGGATATGTCTTTACAAGATCTGTAATGATAAAGCAATAATTGTGTTATAAAACATAGATCTATATATGTTGACTTTTAAATGTATTATGCTCCAAACATTTGAAACCACATTACCTCCAGTCCCTGGGATTGGCCGAGACTTTGACAGTCAGAAAGTAAAATTCTTTTTTAACCTTTTACCTCATATAGGTGTGTTTTGACAGCTTTTTACCCCCAACCCCCTTTTTGAGGACTCAAATTGTGAAAAAATGGCCCATTTAGGCCCCAAACACTGTTTTTTGTTAGAGAAATGTTGTTCAAAAAAGTGATCCCATTTTTCTGCGCTGCCCTCTATCAAAAAGGTACATTAAGGGGGTGCCAGAGGGGGGGGACGTGCCCCCTTCTGTTTAGGGGTTTGAAGGGGGCAATAGCCCCCCTCATCACCAAGAAAATTTTGGACTTGTGTGGGGTTAAAAATGGCCTCAGGTTGATCTTAAGGTAATGTGTAACCAATGCTGAAAAGCCTTTGACTCCATCTCAGTCCATTGAACAGTTGCAGCACTTAGAAAACAGATTTGATGGAAAAAAGCAACGCAAAATAGAGATTTTTTGCAATTTTTAGACATACCCCCCTTGCCATGGTAATAGGAAATTTAAGATTGAGTATGCTGTTACAAAGGCTATAGTCAAGTCAACATTTATTGCCAAGTTTGATCAGTAAGCATTTTTTACAGTTTCATAGCAGTTTGAACTTGTTACAGGAAGCTTTTCAATGAAAACAGCCATTTTTCACAATATGCTCATGTGGTAAAAGGTCAATCCCCCAAGCACTGAGAGTTGAACATATCCCCTGCTACTTTGGCACCAAAACAAAAACTGCTGCATTGACCTGGCAGTGAATGGTCAAATATAATAAGGTTAAAGGTTTTACACAAGGTGTCAGGGTGCCATGACTACAATTGACTCAGGTTTACTATGTGTGGTAACATTATTTATATAGTCTTTGAGTTTAGAACAGTCATAATAAGAATTAAAAAAATAGCCAGTTTACTAATCAGTCACTTCACTCATCAACTTTTACATTTAACCCCCCCCCCCTCCCCCCCCCCCCCCCCAAAAAAAAAAAAAAAAAAAAAAACAACAAAAAAAAACAAAAAACAAAAACAAAACAAACAACAACAACAAAAAACAACAACCTAAAATCAGACCGTTGTAGGTCAAAAGAAGACATTACTTGTTTTTAAGTGGCTCAACAATAACTTTAAAATTGTTGATGTGACTTAAAGACAAGGAAACTGACTTCAAAAGACATTTGTCCTTTCGGCCTCCAAAAATGTATGGATTTAATAATGACAACTCTTTGGTCAGATGTTGTAGAAGTAATTAAACAGAGATGATTTAGTCTCATGAATTGCAAACCTGCCAATATTTAAAAAACAATTTACAGATTGTATGTTATATTTTTTTAAAGAGTACATAAAATACAAGACTTTACCTATGATATATAGCCATGCACATTTGACATCCCACCTGATTATGTTCTTCACAGTACATGTCAACACAATTATGATTATGGTTTTCACATCTTTCTGTTGGTATGGGCAACTGTGTTTGTCTTGACATTGACTGGAATTGATCCTTTTCTAGAATTTTGTGTTTTAATAAAGCTGGAATATCTTCATGAAACTTGACACATGTTGAACAGTAATAATCTTTACAGTCCACACAATACTTTTCTGCTTTGCAGTTTTTATTCTTTAGTTCACAAAGTGTACACTGAATATCAAAAAATTCATCTTGCATTTGGTCAGTTTCATCTATAGTGATATCCCCACCTGTTGCCATTGTTATTGAAGTCTTTAAATTCTTAAAACTTATATATAATTATATATACTGGCATCTGTAAACCCTCACTGCCTACAGTATATATAATTTCAAATGTATCAAATATTTTAACATTTTAGTAGTAACTTCCTCTTATAGTGAAAATGTTATCAAAATTGTAAATACACACATCTATGATAAAATTTTTTATCTAAACTTAATTGTTTACATTATATGATGTATTAAATTTTTGTGTATATAGATAAAACCTTGTCAGTAAATCTATTAACCCTTTCACTGCATTAGACGGCTAAATATGCCGGGCGTATTTGACATATGGACGGCTTTAGCCGTTCCTATGATAATAATAGTAATAATAATAAATAAATAAATAATAAGAAGAAAATTAATAATAAATATAAAGAAATTATAACAATAATTATTATTATACTCACAGATTGGAAACATATATAATTATTATAATACTTATAACAAATAATTATAATTATATTTATTAATAATATAGTAATTTCTTAGAAAACCCTCTGGCAAATAGGTGATCAATAAAACAATAACCCTCTGGCAGTGAAAGGGTTAAAGAAGATTTAGAATTGCAATTTAAGAAATTATATCTATACAATAAGGAGAGGTTTTTTACTCATCCAGGCTTCTCTCTAAGTCATCATCATCATCATTTTACAAATTTTATTGAGATATAGATATAGATCATATCTTTCATGGATTTTAACACTGTTATATCCTTAATTGATTTACAAGTTTTGAAAAACCTATTCTGATTCTACTTTTATACACCCACAAGCATGTAATCTTAAGAACAGCTCTTGTTAAGTAAAATTATCAAGACAAGAGATTGTATATTATCAATCACGACAGCATAGTTATGTTTAGTTTTTATTATTTTTATTATCAAAGTTGTTTTTGATAACTTTTAAGGGTGAAAAATCTGTTATTTTTTTCCCACTCACATTTTGGTTGTATTTCAGTATGAATGTTGGTTATTTTTCAGATCTTCCACAATTACCGTCAGCTGATGACAAAGTAGAAGAGGGGTCAACACCCTGTCCTCCAAGTCGTGGTACAGGTGTCACTTTCTCAGAATATTCTGTGGATTATTCTCAAGATGGTGCAATGACTCGACGTACCAGTAGCACATCTAACACATTAACTACCAACACTGGAACAGATTTCACTAAACGGTTAGATGAATATAAATACAATGATAAATTATAACATGGTTGTAAAATAATGTTTAAATAACAGCTATTTGTCTTATGATATAAAATACAAATGCTTACACAATTCATAACAGACTAGGTTGGAGCAGGATATGGTCTTTTAATTTCTGAGTTCTAGTTTTTGGCATGGCAGATGTATTATGTATTCCATTTTAGTTTGATTATAAACTAACATTTATCTTCCATGCAGATATTTTTTCAAGAATTTTTTGTTGTTGTTGATAAAACAGGTATTATACTGTATTACTACAAAATTGTCTGCAAGTAAATAACTGAATTAGAATTTACCATTAATTTATGTTTCAAACTGGCCCTGTAAGCAAGCTAAAAATTGAAACATTTTACTGGAATTACTAAAGAATAATATAAATGCTATCAGTTTAAATTAAAAAAATGAAACTTTGCTATTGTTTGATTAATGCAATACTTATAACTACATGTAGTTTATTAGCTCGACTATTCGATAAGAATAAGTAGAGCTATTGCAGTCACCCGAGCGTCGGCGTCGGCGTAACCACTTATGTTAAAGTTTTTGTAATAGTTCAAATATTTTCAAAGTCCATTGACATATGGCTTTGAAACTTTGCACACTTGTTCACCATCATGACCCAACCTGTAGACAGGAGGAGGTAACTCTATCAAGCATTTTGACAGAATTATGCCCCTTTTTCGACTTAGAATTTACGTTAAAGTTTTTGTAATAGTTCAAATATTTTCAAAGTCCATTGACATATGGCTTTGAAACTTTGCACACTTGTTCACCATCATGACCCCAACCTGTAGACAGGAGGAGGTAACTCTATCAAGCATTTTGACAGAATTATGCCCCTTTTTCGACTTAGAATTTACGTTAAAGTTTTTGTAATAGTTCAAATATTTTCAAAGTCCATTGACATATGGCTTTGAAACTTTGCACACTTGTTCACCATCATGACCCCAACCTGTAGACAGGAGGAGGTAACTCTATTAAGCATTTTGACAGAATTATGCCCCTTTTTCGACTTAGAATTTACGTTAAAGTTTTTGTAATAGTTCAAATATTTTCAAAGTCCATTGACATATGGCTTTGAAACTTTGCACACTTGTTCACCATCATGACCCAACCTGTAGACAGGAGGAGGTAACTCTATTAAGCATTTTGACAGAATTATGCCCCTTTTTCGACTTAGAATTTACGTTAAAGTTTTTGTAATAGTTCAAATATTTTCAAAGTCCATAGACATATGGCTTTGAAACTTTGCACACTTATTCACCATCATGACCCCAACCTGTAGACAGGAGGAGGTAACTCTATTAAGCATTTTGACAGAATTATGCCCCTTTTTCGACTTAGAATTTACGTTAAAGTTTTTGTAATAGTTCAAATATTTTCAAAGTCCATTGATATATGGCTTTGAAACTTTGCACACTTGTTCACCATCATGACTCCAACCTGTAAACAGGAGGAGGTAACTGTATCAGGCATTTTTTTTACTATCAAGCACGAAGAATAGTCGAGCGTTGCTGTCCTACCGACAGCTCTTGTTTATTATTGCTGAATATTTTTAGATCACATTCTCGCAATACATGGGAGAGTGAGCAGTTACGTCCAGTAACCTCGGTGACAGCTAGTTGGGAAATGTATAGTTTACATCCAGATCAGTCTATAGAACATCCCAAAGATAATCTGTGGATTATAGAGGCAGATGATCCATTACTTGACAGCAGACTTATAAATGCTATAGTACATGGTATGTTTTTATCTCAGTTCATTACATTATCCAAACTTGGCAGTGTAATTCAAGATTTATTTTAAAATGCATGAAATACAATAACTAACATCAGTTCTGTTCTTTTCAATTCATTATGTAAACAATGTCAGTGATCCTAAAAGTGTAAAAGTTAAGAAATAAAATCATTTATAGATCTTAGCATTCACTTTAAGTTTCTGTTTTTTTTTCTTACAACAGGGGTGACAGTATTGATTACCCACCTAGAAAGAAAGCCTATTGACCCCCTGTTTCGAGGCTTACTCCTCAAACATTTCTACGTTGATAAAGATGGTAACAAAGTTGTCAGGGTCGGTAGTTACGAGTTCCGGTATCATCCAGATTTCTGTCTTTATCTGAGTACTTCGGTCCCACTATTCCTGAAAGGTAACTTTTTAGACTAAATGTTACATGTTAATGTCAAGTGATAATCTTTTGTGTGTGACTTGTTTAAACTGAATTATGTCTCAGACAAAAACTCAAGATTTATCTGTATGTTGAAGATTTTTCATAGGCCATTTGAAGATTGTAAGAATGCCAGTAAACAAGTATTAAGGGGACTAAAATGGAAACAGTTTTATTTTATTTGTATGAAATGATAATAAAAGTAATTATTTAACTTTATTTATTGTGGATAACATATTTGTTTCATTACAATTTTCAATGTGGACAATATAATGAATAGCTATTTTTATGAAAAGGCATAATCAAATGCATAAAATGCGAAAACAGAAACTTAGATATACAGAAAATATAGGAGTGCAGAAGTTGTTAACAGTAAATTTCTTCTTGGTATGTTCATAATATGTACAATATGCTTGAAATAGACAGTTGATATTCCATTTTTAACTCTAAGCCAGCTGATGGCAATATATTTTACCCATTGGACACATACTGACCTAGATCAGTCAGTACATCTTCACTGTTTAATCATGATCTGCACTGTTTACTATTCACTCAGTACATATTTTGAAAATTTACTTTAAATTTTGTGTAAAATGATGAGTGATTTTGCCCAGATAGAATGATGTACAAGTTTATTTAGGTACATAGTGTGGTAAAATGTTAGTTATATATTTCAGGTGATGGGCTACACAATATTCCGCTACACAGAATGTGTATCATCAATATGTCATTCAGTGATGAGGCAATCATCAACTTCCTGCTACACGAAACTATGAAAGTTGAACGGAAAGAATTTGAAGGTCAAAAGAGGTCAAATGAAAATGATATTATACAGCATAGAAGAAAGTTGGCTCAAGAACATGTATGTAGCCTGACTTATGATCTATAAATGATCTATAAAGAATGTAACAAAAACATAAAAATTTAAGTTGCCAATGTATACAATGTATACAAGGAAAGCTTGTGATAAAATACTACATTCAAAAATCTGTAGTTAAAGATAATTATTTTATTTTCCCAATTGAACAAAAATATAAAACACCAGATATTAGAATTTAGTCAGATGAATTTATGTGGGCAGATTGATTAATTGCACTTCACTTCTTTACCATTTCATTCTTATATTTATTGTTCTGTCTTTTTTTTACACTAGGAAATGATCAGAGAGAAGACATTGAATCTTTTTGGACCAATCCTTGAAGACCAGACCATGCTAGACTCGCTAATAAATTGTCAGAAAGAGGTTGAACGTAACAAGATCATCCTAGAGGAGACTCGGTACATGGGCGACCATCTAGAGGAGAAGTTCTCTCATTATGTTCCTATGATCATGCAGGCGGCCATGTTATATAACATGATTCAGAGAATGTTTGTCCTACATTCCTACTATTATATGCCATTCTACAAGTTTGTTGAGATGTTTACAGCAGTCATCAAGTCTAGAGATCGAGGAAAAGGAACAACTGGTGAGTGCTCTGATTATTAAATATACTAATTCAGTAAAATATTCATCATCAAATACGTTATTGGAACTTATATCAATTATTCATTGTTACTTAGTGGAATTTATTAACAAGCTATTTCATCTCTGTATCAGAGATCATGCTCAATACATGTATATTTGGTGCTAAGCAGGGTATTGTTTTTTTTACATAGCCAGAATGTTACAAGACCACTAGCACTGTAACTGACATTATAGTATGAAGAAGCTGGTTGACATTCAATCATATATTCAATAATTTTGAGGGAATGTATAATAAATATTGATCTTATTGATTTATTGTCCTGGTTCTTTATAACAGACAACTTTATGTTATTATTTACAATGCCTGACACATATTCAAAATTGTTTCTTAATCTGATTTATAGGTGTAACATCAGATCACAAAGTTTCATTTATATTTGTACATTGAAATGATAACTATGAAATTATCTAGAACAATACAGAACTCGTATATTACTGGCTATATCAGTTTGCAGTAGAATTATTTTTGTCATATATTTTATACAAACAGGTGCGCCTGCATCACGAGCAAAGGAACTATCTGATGCGGTGTATACCAACATCTTCAAGTTTGTGTCTATGATGATGTTTGAGCAGCACTTCCTGTTACTTCAACTTCTTGTAGCTCTAGAAAGACTCAGACTCGGCAAGAAGGCCTCGGCCAAGGAACTTGGTATCTTTTTGAACGGTTTTGACAAGCAGGGCCTTGAGGAAGCTTCCTTGCTTGAACAGAAACCAGACTGGATGGAGGCTCAAGCCTGGATTGATTGTTTGATACTGGAGCAGGTTCACCATGCCTTCCATGGTCTAAGGAAGTCACTGATAGCTAACAATGAGCAGTGGAAGGAGTACTTTGAGCATCCAGTCTCTCTGATGAACACTGTGCCTGGTATGACCATGCAAGACCTCTTTATCTTCCAGAAATGTATTTTGTGGAAGTTTGCTGCTCCTGAAAGGGTAAGTTTCATGCTTAAATCTGTTGAAAGAATACATGATACTTAGTCATACATCTTAATTTTTTTTAATATTACTTAATATATGGAGATGAATCATATTTGAAAGCAATAATTTTATAATCACATGTTTGTTTATAATACTGCCAGTTTGTGACATCAAGCTTTATAGCTGACAGTTTATATAATTTATATACACAGTTGCTGGAAATTTATTAAGTAATTTTCATTATTTTCTTTAAAAAATACATGATAATGAATTTTGTTGTATAATTTTTTTTTTAAAGATTTTTGACATATCTTATGGCTGTGAAAGCTGTGAGATGAGGGGTAAATTTCAAACAACTATTTATACACAACCATATAGCATATCAAAGATGGTAATTACTTATAATGTACATGTACATGCTCTATGGAGAGTTTTTATAGAAGAAGAAAGGTAGATAAAAGTTAAATTTTACATGTTATGATTACAGTTATCTGAGGTGGCTCAAGCTCTTATATTATATGAGCTAGGAAGTATTCGTACAGTACCTGACCACTATAACATCAAGGAGGTGTACAACTTCACCTCTAACACAACACCAGTTGTATTTGTACTTCCTAATGATCTTCACGATGTAGAAGTGTCAGAAGGAACTAAAGGTTAGTCATCACATAATTTTTATCACTTTATATTTATCACCCTTATCAACAGATCAGGGTGAATATCACTTTTGTTCTATCATCAATACTATTCTATGTATCTGCTGATAACTTAATCATTTATTAAAAATTTCTTATTCTATAAACTATAGTAATATTTGAACACATCATTCTTGTGAACAGCAGCTTTATTTTGACATATTGAAATATTAAAAAAAGAAAATATCAGAAATTTTTTATTAACATATTTTTAGATGGGGGCATTGCCTTTTACAGACATATCTTACAAATTTATTTGGTCTCATTATTTGTAAGTACTAGATCAAAAAATTATATCCTTAGGTGGCCCTGTACTAAAAATATAAAAATGGTTTCAGTTTGCTGCACAAGTTGGTCACAGGCTTTTAAATGAAATGTCTAAATATATTATCTTTAGATGCAACAATGACCAGAGCTTAGCTATTTTGTATGATTCATGAGTTTGTGGTCAGTTGTTTAAAAGTTACATAAATCATGCCCCTGTGGTCAGAATTTGCCCAGGCTCATGGTCCTCTTGTTTTTAATTGAACCTTTTTAATTGAATGTGAACACTGAAACTTTAAATTTTTCAGGCATCCCATATGTAAGTCCTTCACATGAGGTGAAACGTCTTGCCAAGGAGGTTGGTATGGAGGGTAAGGTCAAGGTCATGAACTTTGGGGTTGATGGTCAGGTGGCAGAGGTCAAGCATGCTGTAGAAGATTGTATGCAGACTGGTTACTGGCTTCTGTTACAGAACTATCATCTAGCAGAGGAACCAGAACAAGAATTCTTCCAACTTCTGAAAGTATGTTACTGCTGAAGTATAATATTTGTACCACTTGCCCCTCACCGCTCTGGGTTTGAATCCCGACAGGGACTTTGGATTCTTTCATGTGAGGAAGCTATCCAGCTAGCTTAAGGAACGTCGGTGGTTCCACTCAGGTGCCCGTTCGTGCCTGAAATAATGCAGGGAAGGGCACCTGAGGTCTTCCTCCACCAGTAAAGCTGGAATGTCGCGATATGACCTATACTGTGTCGATGTGACGTAAAACCCAAAACAAACAAAAATAATAATTGTATCTGTAAAATGGTAAAGTTTAAAATCAATCTTACCTTGAAACAACAATGGAATATAAAAGAAGAACTCATTTGTGATGTAACATTGCAAGAAATATAATGATGTTACATAAAATGCAGTTTGCGTTAAAATCATAGTGTGTTTGCACACATGAATGGTTAAGGTCATTTACTGTTAATAACTTTTAGTTTTACCACTGTTAGTTTTTATTCTGGTCAAGACTTTAAATTGTTTATGAAAGGAGCTATGTTAGGAGAGAAAGGTTGATGGTAATCTAACTTGATGCCACGTTGTACCTGAAATGATGCGAGTGGAGTGTTTTGAAAGAAGAACACCAGAAAAAAATGTTAAATCACCATATGACCTGAATAATGCACCTTTGTTCCCAAATAAACAAAATGCAAACTGACAAATTATATATTGAAAATATCACTTAAGAATTTGTTTAGAGGCAGCAATAATGTGATATTTTGATCAGTAATGTTTTCTGTTATATATCTATGTGTTTTATGACATATTCAATTGTTCTATTATATATGTATAATGTATATATTTTAGGACATTGTGTACACAAAATGGGTAAAGAATGATCAGTTACGTGAACAGACATCTATACCAGATGACTCCACTTCCCTCATTACTTTCTCTAAGACAACTAATCAATCAGGTGTCATGTGTATTAACAACACATTCCGTCTTTGGATCACAACACAGTCAGATAGGGGCAGACTTATACCAGGTATTTACTGTAACAAAATCCTAGTATCTGAATGTAGGGCTAGGGTCCAATTAAAAAATAAATTGTCTTATGTGGAGGACCTTTAAGAATAAGTTACAAAAACAATTTGATAAACTATCAATATTAACACATATAATCATCAATATGACTTCAAACAAAAAACTAATCTTATCACCCTCCCAATTTTATACATAAATAGCAAATAGACAAATTTATAAGTTTACAAAGTGATCATAGCTGGAACAATTGATTGTGTATGGAATGATATATTAAGCATTAATGAAACTATATTTTTGTAATCAGGAGTTCTGGTTCAGCATGGCATCAAAGTGACAGCAGAAAGTACTGGTAACTTCAAGTCTACATTACAGAAAGCTTACAGATCTGTTGCATTCCTCCTGAATAACTTCCATCTCTCACCAGACGAGGTAAGTTATATACATTGACACCTCAGATGTTGTTATTTTATTATACACTGAACAAACATGTACATTTTATGCTGGATTCATCTTGCCTGTTTGTCTTTGATTACAAATATGTGTACACCCCATATTTTGGAACTGTGCACTAAAAAATTTGTATTCGAAAATGACCAAGTGATTTCCGCTAGTTCAGCATTACGTCTTGAAAATCGTATGACAAATCTGCATAAGTACCATATAACATGTAATATTTTAAATAATTTTGTTAAAAGAAAATACTAACTTTTGTAAAAATACTAGTTATGTTTTTATTGCTTTTAGGATTGACATATTGTTTATTATTATTAATTAAATACTTAGCTCAGTATCATGGTGACTGGTTATTAAACCTGGAAGCATATTTAGGAACTGTTTCCATAATTTATAACTCAAATTCGTAATTTTCTGAATTTTAAAGGTTGTGAGAACATGTTGCAAAATAATAAAAAAAACGACCCAATTTTGATAACGAATATTGAATGTATTGTTTCACTCTTGTAAAGTATTATCCGAAGTACAACGGGATTACTCGCCCTCGCTCCTAACTTTATGCACATAACAAAATTTATATGCAATGTACCATGTAGTTCTGCTAGTTCAGCATTACGTCTGATATATGACTATAATCTGGCATAGATATAAATTGATATTGTATTAATTGTATCATATCTTTTAAAAAACATATTCTTTGTTTTCATGACGACATATTGTAATATATTATAGTCATATCTTGATCTACATCACTTCTCAAGTGGCAGCATGGCTGACTGGTTAAAAAATCAGACTAGTTTTTTAAAAATTGCTGGCCAGGTGGGTTCAAACCCGGTCAAGGGCAAGCCTTTGTTTCCTTGAGCAAGATACTTTACACTCATGGCTTAGTACTGGTTGTTTCCTGGATCATAGTTGAGAGTGTTTCAATAAGCTTTTAGCTTCCAACACAATTTAACTCAAACAAATTTGTATAAACAAAAACTAAACTTTGCTAAGGTTTTAAGAAATACATGTATCAAGAATTAGAGTAAAAAAAAACCCACAATTTTTAACCATTTATTGGAATGTTAAATATATATATAGACACCAAGTGACAAGACGGCCAGGATTATGCCCCTTGCTCTTCTACATTCTATACTGCTACAACAAAGTTACTATGGCAACACAGTATTCCATGAGAGAACATCATTGGTCACTTACAGATCTTGCAATGGCAGTATATGCATCTTCAAGAAATAAGAAAGAAATCACAA